GTCCAATCTTCAGCTTAGTCATCTCCTACTACCGTTTAATGGTAGGCTGAGCTTCGTCCTTGATGTTCTTCGGCTTATATATGTTAGGTATTCTTCTCATCTAGTTGGACCAAGCCTCTTAGAACTACTAGTAGATAAAACTCTGCTAATCATTGAGGAAGGTTGATAATTTCATATTATGGTTCTAATGGAAGTGGGGAGTTTCAGTGAGTCCAGGGTCCGAGACTGGCTGTACAATCAATTCTTTATACTGCTGTATCAGCCGTGGATCCTGGGGTTCTTTCTGAGAAATGCCAACAAACCTCTATAAATTGGACATCATTATTTGTGAAAAAACCTGGTGGTTGAGCGTGATGCCAGCCAAATCACCCTGCCCAACCCTCGGTCTAGAAGCTTGGTTATCATGGTGAAGATTTTTCTACTGGAAATGAGTCAAAGAACTTCAATGAAGACGGAGGCACAATTTAATAGTAGGTACCAAAATATCCATTATGTATTATAACTTTGGATGTTGAAAAATCTAAGAATCACTGTTCTTATGAATAATAAGGAAATGGGATATTGGATAAATTACCACCACAATGCGTACATAAGCTGATTAGAAGACTCCTAACATATTCAAAACGTGTATCAATCAAAAATGCTGAGAGAGAGAGAGAGGCCAATCTTGAAAGGAAAGTAATATAATTGATGACAAAGGGCAAGTAGTAGTGCAGAGTATTCTAAACGAACAGATGATTAGCTATTGGTTAATTGATCGTTGATGACTTCAAATACGCGCGATGAAAGATTAAGCTACACTTTCGCCTCTATTGTCTTTGAATGAGGATTGTTTTATGGAAATTATTAAGGTAATTGGAGAGTTGGATGGGCATACGAAAAGATCGGCAACCTGCAAATCTTCTGTTTTGGTACATTGCTGATTAACGCATATCTTACTTTTAGTAAGGAAAGTCGGTTTCGAAGGGATCTCCGACTATAGTTTTAATAAATAAGTAAGCTTGTTATAATAATCTTTTTTTGGGGAGCACTTACCAAACTTCTTTTCGGACTTCCAAAAGTATTTCCTTGCATCTTAATCGTTGACATTTCATATTTAAGTATTTTTTTGTGTAGGTTTATGGTTTTCAAGTAAATGTAGATTTTATATGTGCTAGTATGCATGGCCAAGTATTTTTCTTTTATAATTTATTTTTCTCGCATATATTTCTCTTTATGCTAGCATTTAGTATTAAGTGTTTATTTAGCATACATGGAGGAGAGTTAATATGAGGAAATATGTTGGAAAATAACAACATTATTATAGAACATTGATATTTATAATACATCATTCTCCACAAATAAATATATTTATGTAATTTATAGGAAGACAAAAGTAGATTTAAAAAATGTTATTGCTTAATAAATATACGTTTAAGTCACTACAGAGCCAAATCTCAAGGAATAACAAAAAAAGTGATCATAAATTATAGTAGCCTGGGATGGCAAGAATCTGGACTAGATTAATTATAAAAAAATATTTGAATTATAAAAAATCTCGATTACAGAAATAGGTAAATTTTATTCATCCTGAATAGCATGTACTTTCAGATCATCCGGCTTCAATCAAATAGATTTCGTCCCGTGTATCGGTGTATATGCAACATCCGATTCTTCAGTTTAGTTCGGAGGTGGTAGGCAACCGACTGCTAAATCAAGTTTATATGTTCGTATATATCCATTTCCCTACCGATCTACTAATATCATGGATTAAAATGAAAAAAAAAAAACTTTTATTTTTAAAAAGTTTCGGTATTGCTGGAACTTTTATAGTCGGTAGTTTTTCAATTCTCTTGTAACCAGAACTTTTCCCTCGCAACTTTTCAGTCAAAGGTTTTAAACAACTTCTATTTTTAAAGAACCTTTATTTAAAAATTCTGTCTACTTCGCTAAAAAGTCGATCTAAAAAATTACTTTTATGCATAGCTACTCAAATGACATATTAGAGCCATTTGTCATTCATTCAAGAAAAATTAAACTCCAAAAAAAAAAAAAAAAAAATCCAAGCAAAGTGACTGCTTATTTTTTTTAACAACTTAATAAATAAGAGTTAAAATTTTACCACAAGCCTGCAACTTATAACAAAAAAAAAGTTTCCTTAGAACTATTTTTCCAACAAAAACTCTTAAAATGAAACTTTTTCCTAAAACGTTTCTCAGAAACTGTTAAAATTGAACTTTTTTAGTAAATATTTTATAAATATAGTGTTTATTTAAAATATTATTTTTAAATATCTGTTAATTGTCACTACCATGACAGGTGTGGATGAAGAATTTGAAGAAAAAAAATATTCTGGTGCAGGCAGCTTGCATCACACAACTTTAACTTATCAAGCTAATTAAATAATTAAATAACTGCTCAAATAGGAAAGATTCCTGAATTCGATTGCAACGTTCAATCAAAATTTTAAAGCACTCGACGATGGACTTTTGGAAATTAAGGATTTTGAATAACCGAACATTTACAGTATTATTTATATAGTGTATACAGTACTATTTATATGTGTATACAGTATTATTTATATACTGTTTCCAAAAAAAATTATTGATAACACAGAAGATCATCAATAGCTACTAAACACACACAAAAACGAAAAACTACACAGTGTGCTTAAGACCACAAGATAGAAATGAAAACACTATCAAGGTGGGTTTTATAAATGAATTAAAATTTTTGTTTATATTTTCACAAAGTAATAAAATTAAATTAAAATATATACAATTATAATTGGGCATAAACTATGTTTTCTCCAATATTTATAAAGTAATAACATTTATAACATATACAATTGTAATTGTGTATAAATTACTCTGGTAAATTATTCTTTATAATGAGCTATTATTCAAAATTATATCTTGATCCAATGCCGCGTTAGAGAGGTAAAAAGAAAAAAAAAGATAGTGGCAAAAATCAATTGATAGCATTTAGTTTATATCAATAGTATTTATGTCAAATGATAGTTTTATTTTTATTTTTGTGGTACTATATTTTTCTCTTTTTGTCTCTTTAACAAGGTTTCGTCAAGATACAGTTTTGAATAATTGCTCATTAGAAATAATAATTTACCAGAGTAATTTATACACAATTACAATTTTATATGTGTGATAAATGTTAATAACTTTGTAAATAAAGGAAAAAATCATAATTTATGCCCAATTACAATTGTATATATTGTAAATTTTATTACTTTGTGAATATATAAACAAAAATTATAATTCATTTATAAAACCCACCTTGTTAATGTTTTCATTTCTATCGTGTGGTCTTAAGCACACTCAGTAGTTTTTATTTTTGTGTATGTTTAGTAGCTGTTGACGTGCTTAGTGTTATCAATAATTTTTTTTTTGGAAACATTGTATGTAAATAAAAATGTAAATGTTTGTTTATTTAAAATAGCTAAACTCCAAAAGTCCATCCTCGAGTTCTTTGAGCAGTTATAAGTTGTAGCAGCAGTTATAATTTTTATTTTTCTGGTTTTATATTTTTCTATTTTTGTTTCTCTAACAAGGTTTCGTCAAGATACTGTTTTGAACAATAGCTCATTATATTAATTTATACACAATTACAATTGTATATGTTATAAATGTTATTACTTTTTAAATATAGGAAAAAACATAGTTTATGCCCAATTAAAGCTGTATATAATGTATGCAGTATGCAGATCCGATTTTTAGTTTTAGAGATATTTTAATCCAATTAAAAAATTAGTTTAATATACCCGAAGTAGCGTTAAATAACCGAGCGTGACGGCTCATTCTCATTCACTACTAAAAAAATGTGCATAGCGCATCTAAAGAAGTTTTCATTAAAAAGAAAAAAAAAATGAAAATTAAAATCGTATGACAAACAGAGGAGAAAAGGGTACTGTACTGTTTTACCTTTACCAATTTATATATAAATATCCTTAATGCTCCATACTTTGTCACAAATAAAACCATTCATAAAGACCTTAATGTACCACATGTCGCTGATTTAGCTCGAGCCAGATATCTATCCTTTCATGATAAACTTCAGTCCCATCCAAATCCGCTTGTTTCCACTCTTGCTTCTTTCTCGATTCCTGATAATCCTCCTAGGCGTCTGAAAAGGAGATGGCCTCGTGATCTTCTTACTTAAAGTTATTTAGAGAGTGCTACCACTGGGTAGTAACTCTTCAAGCCTGTACATGCCATTATTTATATTTACTTGTATTTGTATACAGTTGTAAATTTCATTAAATAAACAAAAAAAAATATATATATATAAATATAATATGACAAAAAAAAATTATATATTTTCAAGTTAATTTATTATTAGCAATATTTACACCAATTTTTAAATTTTTTTGTCACTTAATGACTACTCATCACAATGACGAAGTTTCGGCTCGTCGAGCCATATTCAAGTCTAAAAAAATTTTCATTTACAATCATATATTAACTTTAACATATTTCAAATTATAAAGATTCTTATTATGTACCTAAAATACCCATCATGTACCTGTCCTTTTCACTTATGCGAATTGCAAGCGTCAACTCATAATAAAATTCCTTATTATTGTCATGTTCACCTTGTAATTGTGATGAGAAGTCATTAAGTGACAAAAAAAAATTTAAAAATTGGTGTAAGTATGGCTAATAATAAATTAACTTGAAAATGAATAGTATGCACCGATGAAGAAGTGAGAAATATTGTGAAAAATATTTCGTTGTGTCATTAAATGTTTTTTGATTATTCCGAAGAAAAGTACTTAAGAGCGTAAGAGGTCTTGAGTATAAAGCGTGTTAGTGGCCAGGAGTTGTTTGAGGTAAGCTATATCACAATTATTTAGAATTTACAGAGCTGGAGTAAACGCTGTGGACAAGTAGCGTACAAATAGTGATTATTTATAGATGATAGCGGGCGCTAATAATTGTCAAATAGGGAGCCGGCGGCAGAGGCGGTAGGTGATGCTCTCTACCTGAGCGGTCGGAACGCCGGGTATGGCGCTGTTGCCACGTCTCCCCCGCACCGCTCCGGCTCTCGCTCCCGGTGTGTCTCTACGCACTCCTTTATCTCTCCCCGATAAATCTGTGTCAGATCATCTCCTAGCCTCCTCCTGATAGCGGCCTAATCTTCCTCTGATTAGCGCCCTCATTGTCTCAAATGTCGAACATGGAACACAACAAGGGGCTCAGTATTATTATTTTTTATTTTATTTTTGCACAACACCTGAATCTACTTATACGTCATAGCCGGCAGGTAGGTGAAATGGGTAGGAGAAACGATATAATGAAAGTGTTTAGAATTGGAAACCGACTTAAAACTAATTATAATTACTAGTAGGCCCGTACTGAAAATTCGCATACCTTATTGTTAAATGATCAAATACCAAATTAATAAGAAAACAAAATAATGCAACGTATCATAAGATAAAGAAATCAATTGTTACTTTATTGATAAATATAATCGATAAAGGAAACAAAAATTAATTTAAAACTTCATTAATGTTTGGAACCAAAATTTTTTACAAATTTCAATAAGCTGTATCTTTGCTAATTTTTTTTAGCCTTTTGTAGGTTATTCAGTAATCTTTTATATAAGCATGGACAAAACATTAAGGGCAAAGTGTGTAATTGTTTAGTTATTCGCAAATAAAGTTTCTTTTCTTTCATAACTTGTTTGCCTGAATTTTCGGAGTGATTGGACTATTTTTCCCCCCTGAAGGAGAAGGAAGCCTTCAAAATTGGTGGCTCAATCTTGGGATTTGGTGAAGAATTACCGACCAAAAACACCATCAATAAACAATATAAACTCCTCCTGTCTCGATCATAGGGGCCTCAATTCGACGAAATGAGACATGTATTCAATGACAGTACTACAATTAATGTGCGAACCCTTTGCGTTGCGTTATCTCGAAAACGGTACGTTTATGGAATTAAAACGCAGGGGGAACTATCCGGGTCTCGCTGTTCCCACCAAAATCTTTCAAGCCCAATTTGTCCCGTATCGATCTACAGACTTACCACCCTTCCAGGATTGAACAAAACCGAAGAATACGATTCGCTAAGCCTCCGTGAAATTTTCAATCCAACGATACCCCTTTCATGGTATTGAGCATGACATAAGCTTATGTTTGGTACAAAACCTATTTCGTGCCTTACTGTAATAACATATGTGGGAATTTTATTTTTATTTAAAAAAATAATAATAAGTTCAATCTCCACCCCTCCCCTCAAAAATCGAGAAACGAAAATTTTATTTCGATATTACTTTAGAATATTTTGTTATCTGAAATTCGTTAATGCACTTTAGAAAAAAGATAGCAAGTTGAGGCAAGGCAGGGGAATATGGTCGATTTGGTATAAGTTACATTTCCTGAGCACGTAATGTAACATGTTTGTTACTTAAGTTAATAGAAACGACTTGTGCTGAAAGTTTAAGTACATTACAATAAAAAGTTTTTTCAATGTGGTTATTTTTTTCTTTCGGTTTAATGGTTAAATTCGCATCCGTCAATATAACATTGTCGACAACCTACGGAGTAAGTCATGGTTATAGATGAACTTAAATATTACACTAGGTCTGGAAAAACATATTATATACGTCTCTTAGTCTAATTGTAAGTATATCCTACTTAGGCTATGTACGGTGAATAGGACGATGAATAAAATCAATCAAAAGTATGAGGCAGTGTTTCCAAATTAGACTCCAAATATTGAAAATCATTTAAATTTTAAATCAAAATAGAACAAACAATCTGAACATGAGATATATGATTCGAAATCAAAATCATCCTTAAATCTATTCCGGGATCCTCAAATGTTTTTGTGATTCATTTACACTGATTCTGTTACACATTTATTATTTATTTTAGATGTTTTATGAAATTTATTCGTAGTCAATTTTCTGATTTTTTTTTTTAGGAAAGGGTCATCTAATGAAAGTGAAGACAACAATTCAAATATAGGTAATGTATCAACAAATCTGGTGAACTTAAACGGCATATTTCATTTCATGATGGAAAGCCTTAGAATCAGATCATTTATTATGAAAAATTAAAGGTCTGTAATATTAGTTTGTTTAATAATACAATGTTAGCTGAAATATTTACCACTTAAAGCTATTCTATAATCTTCGACTAAAAAGTCCTAGACTGATTATACTATGTATCATTGCGTATTGCTCTATTATATTGTATATTGTATGATATATTTGCTTCCTCACTACCGTAGGTAGGGAAGCATTGTATTCATGAGAGAGGTTAACAAAAAAATTGTGCTCAGATTCGAAAATTTCCACTCGCGTTTTACGTTTCAGAAACCAAGGATCAGAGTTAGTTCGGTGTCTGTCTGTCTGTAGTCAAATCGATGCAATGGGAAAATCACCTATTACCGTTTATCGGATTTTCATGAAATTTTCAGAAATTGTGCGGGTTGGTGTCTACATGGTCCCATATCAATTTTATTGAATTCTAACCAGCACTTCCGCTTACGCAAAAGATTTTTTGTAGATATGCCAATATTTCGGAAACGGCTCGTTCGATTTGGCTAAAAGGTAGGTAATTGTAAAAAATATGTATAGTCAACTTTACTAAATTCTTTCCATTGCTTTCTCTTATAAATGCTCAAACGTGTTTTCCTTGATACATCTATATATCTAAAACAGCAAGTTCGATTTGGCTCAAATTTGGAGGCAATTTAGAGATTGGTAAACGTAAAATGAAATAGGCATCAATATTATAAAATTCAATCTAATACTCCGGAAAAAAATACTTCTACTTTCAGATCAGGAAATGTGTTATTTGATATGCCTACAGTTTGAAAACGACGCATTCTATTTGACCCAAACTTGGAATAAATTTTAAGAACAGTATAGAAAGTACTTAGTATCAATTTCATTAAATTCGATTTAATAATTAATTTAATATAAATCATTGTTTACAATATAATAGCTGTTAAATGTTGAAGGCACTGATTATATGGAGTGGGAGTTAGGTCATTACAATATTGTTATGGGGTTGTAAAATTTTATGCTTTATTCAAAAAATTAATTTATACTGTATTGTTTGGTCAATTCCAAATGTTACTGGCATGACAGCTATTGCTGTTACTTAGATTTTGTGTAATTTTCAGTAAATTTTACATTTTCAGTAAGTAATTTTTACTCTGAATTAGTAAAAAAAAAAGTTTTATTTGTGATTATGTTTATTTCCATTGAAGTTCAACCCGTTCCTCTTGGGCTCGATTCCCTCCTTCAATAACGAAGTTGTTTGAAATACACTCATATTTTTATATTCCACCTTAATTAGTTTTGTTCTGACTGAAGAAAAGTATTGGTCCCGTTAATTCCGAAAAAACAACAAGTTGAATTTTTCTTATGGATTTTCAAGTTCCATCCATTTTACGAGTGAAAAGATACCTATTAAGTATATATCACTATTATTGGTGCAAAAGATCGTATGTAAAAATGTTCAATTTTTATTCAATTTCTGCTAAAGGTGACTTTATGTAGTCTGCAACTGATATAAGTAGCCTGCCACTATGGAAAATAGCAGAGGACAATAAAATATGAAATTATACTAATAAAGCATAAAGAAATAATTAGTTTTTATGCTCTCTTGGAAAACATTCAATTTTTACATACGACCTTTTGCACTAATAGTAGTGATATGCATGTTCAGTATGCATTGGTATTTTTTTTTAAAATTAAGAATCATCAAGTATGCCACTCTTTCGGATTTTAATATTAGCTGATAAACGAAATTAGTGGATATCAAACCCTCGAATATTGTAGGGTAACTGTTCCGATTCGGCTTCTCCCAAGGATTTTATTCCCAAACGAAAAGTGCTTGCTTGGAATATTGATATATTTTAGCTAATGAAAACGGCGATGACTGACCTTACTTGGCATACGTTTTAAACATTTAATAGGAAGATATAACATATTGTTACTATTTTATATTCTATTTATTATACATTTATTTAATTTTGTTTTTGAGTTTAATATTTTCAAAGTTAATAATTTCTATTTATATTGTCCTACAGTTTTTTTTTAAAACACATTCCGAGTAATTTATTTATTTTTCTTATAAAAAGTATATTTCTCTGCTTTACTTCTATATTAGTGTAATTGCTTATTATTGGATCTCTATACATATTAGGATGCATCATTCCCTATCCTACTTTCGATCAATCCCTATCCTGGAAACCTCACATCTCCCAAATTTCCCGTCGCACTATCTCCACCCTAAAACAGTTCAATCGTCTACGATATCTCCTTCCATATAAGTCCCGTCAACTCCTAGTTTCCTCCCTTGTTTTCCCCCACTTCGACTATGGCTGTATGGTGTACGGTGGACTCCCGGGAGATTCCGAGGCCAAACTTAAACGCCTAATGAATTGCGCACTACGATTTGTTTTCGGAATCTCAAGGGATACGCATATTACCCAGTATTACACTGAGTTGAGGTGGCTCTACCCATCCTATCGCCGTCAGTACTTCCTAGCCACCTTTCTGTACCAAATTATTAGACCCTCGACCCTCCTATATTTTTCACAGCTTACAATTCAAATATTCCATCCAATCCCGTCCCACCAGATCTCGTACTTCCGACCTCTATCCTCCTCCTCACCGAACTGCTGCGTTTGACAAATCCTTTGCAATACAAGCCGCCTCCCTCTGGAATTCCATCCCAGCTGATATTCGACACGCTCAATCAGTTTCCTCGTTTAAACCACTCCTCTTTAAGCACCTACTCCTTTCTCAATCCGAATGATTGTGAAATATATCTTAGAGAAATATCTGAGCACCACCAGAGACTACCTCAATTTATTAAGGTTATTTTAGTTTCTCATACATATGTACAATTTACTTGTTCTTTTTTCTTCTCTTTTCTGTATTTTTATCGTAAGTCAACTTTCATTGTAAATATACAATTTAATTGTAGCCACACAGACATATAGTCTGTATTCATATTTTGTTCTTAAGGGACAACAGTCCCAGAATAATAAAACATTTTTTTCATTTCATTTCATTTCATCATAATATTGTAATAAATGAAATAATATTCAAATACGAGTATTTTCAATATTATCAATACCTTCTTTTTTTTTTTTTTATGTTTGTTTATTTAGAAATATCACATTCTGTCACATCAAGGACATTTGTAATAGTGTTCAGAGAACACACTCACACTCTATTTACAATAAATAAATAAAATAATAATAATACAGAAACTTAATAATAATAAATACAATAAAATAAAATAAAAATAAATACAATAAAATAAAATAAAAATAAATACAATAAAATAAAATAAATGTATATAAACAAAAGAACTAACCTAATCATACACACTCGGGCTTGAGTGGAGGATCTGGCCATTGCCAAAACTCCAATAGATGCTTATTTACAGAAGGTCTCTGGGCCACTGCCGCTTCAACCTTCGAGGAGGATTGTAAGGATGGGTGGTGCTGGATAGAGATTGTGCAAGGGGATTTGGATGATAGGTAAGGTTCTGGTGAAATTTGGAGAATTTTTCTGGAATAAGGTCTAGGACAAATGGGATATTAAGGTCATGGTGTAGGATTTTGTTATTTACATAGAACGGAGCATCAACTATTGTTCGAAGGACTTTAGATTGAAAGGATTGAATACGTTTGATGTTAGAAGCTTTTGCTGTCCCCCACAGTTCAAGTCCGTATGTCCATATAGGTTTCAGTATTGTCTTGTAGATAAGTAATTTGTTTTCAATAGAAAGTTTGGATTTTCTGTTTAGTAGTCTGTATAGCTGGCCGTATCGTCGGTTGAGTTCTTGTCTTTTGAGTCTAGTATGTGGGTTCCACGTTAGTCTTCGGTCTAAATGAAAACCAAGATACCGGACTGTGTCTGAGTAAGGAAGCTGGATGGAATTAAAGTGTACTGGTGGACAGGAACTGCGTCGGAGTGTAAAGGTAATATGTTGGCATTTAGATTCATTAACTTTAATGCGCCAGTTATTACACCAGTGCTCAATCAAGGTGAGGTGGTTTTGGAGATTTAAGGATGCTATGTTGGGATCAGAGTTGGATGATAAGATTGGGGTGTCGTCAGCGAATGTTGCAAGAAAAGTATCGGGATGAACAGGGATGTCAGCAGTAAAGAGGATGTAAAGCACGGGACCCAAGACGCTGCCTTGGGGAATACCGGCTTTAACGGAGTAGATATTGGAAAATTCTGTTCCACAGCGAACTCGGAAGGAGCGGTCAGAGAGGTAGGATCGGAGGACTAGGTATAAGGACTGAGGTAAATGGATTTTAAGCTTGAAGAACAGTCCGGAGTGCCATACCCGGTCAAATGCCTGTGCAATGTCCAGAAATGCACCCGAACAGTATTCCTTGTTTTCTAGGGCTGAGGAAATATGATCAACAACTCGGAATCCTTGTTGAACAGTAGAATGTTGGGAGCGAAAACCAAACTGATGGGAAGGAATATTTTGGGATTCTATAATGGGTAGGATTCGTTTCAAAAGGATCTTTTCAAAATTTTTTGAAAGGATTGGGAGTAGGCTAATTGGTCTATAGGATGTTGAGATATTCTGAGGTTTGCCTGGTTTTGGGAAAAGGATAATAGTGGAGTGTTTCCATAGCAGAGGGAAGTGGGTGGTGCGTAGGATACAATTGTAGATATATGTAAGGAATATGACTGCTTTGGATGGAAGTTGTCGAAGGATTTGAGGGGTAAGGAGATCATGTCCAGGAGCTTTACGGGGGATTAGTTTTTTTAATTGAAATTTCACTTCGGAAGGATGAATAGCTTTTGGGGGCAAGGAAAGTGGGATTGGTGATGTAAGGAGTTCTTCTACTGTTACGGTGTGGGCAGGATGGGATTCCGGATGTGAAATAAATGTATTGGATACGTGAATGGCGAACTCCTCAACCTTATCTTCGTCAGATGCTGCCCAGGAGCCATCATCTCGTCGGAGGGGAT